TTGTATGTCAAAAAAATTGATTTTTTAAAGTTGTAAGTCAGAAAAATCGTGTTTTTTTTCACGTTTTATGTCAGAATAGGCTATTTTTCCTAAAAAAAACATATTTTTCAGATTTGTTAGTCAGAAAAATTGATTTTTCCTACTTGTGAGTTTAAAAAAAATCTATTTTTTGAGTTGTAAATCAGAAAAATCGTATTTTCCGAATTCTAAGTCAGAATAATCTACTTTTTTTTGAGTTCTAAGTTAGAATAACCGTTTTTTTCGAGTTGTAAGCCTAAATAATCTCTTTTTTCAAGTTTTTATTTGTAGAAATAAAAAAAAAATTAGTGGCCCTTCTACGCATCTGCGGTTATTTAAATAAAATTGTTCTTAAATACTTCAATTCTAATAACTCTCTATTAAATTTAATCTAATTGGAGTTCTTTTCAATTAGGTGTGACAGAAAGTGCGCCGAGCAGTGCCTCCGAAAACGATGGGCCCCAAGACTGACATCAACCGTAACCAGAAATGTTTGTACCTATACTAAGTGACAGAATTTTATACTAAAGACGTACTTTAATAAGTTAAACAAGAAAAAATATATATAGAAAAATTTCCATGTTGGAAATTGAAATTACCGTGGTTGTAAGTAACAAAAAAATTATGAGCTCGATATGACGGTGTTTGTTGATAATAATTTATTGTTTTTATTACCTTGAGTTTCTAGTTGTAGTCTTTTTGCTAAGCATCAAAGCATCAAAGCAGTTCGCTGTATATTAGGTGTTTTTGACTCTAAAAAAATGTATTCATATTGAAAAATTATAAATTACGTGGGGGAGTTAAATTTTAACTTTTTTTGTATAAAGTTATATCTATTTTTCGATAATTATCATATTAAAATAAATTGAAAACTAAATTTACACCATCAAAAAAAAATAATTTTACAATTGATTTTTTATTGTTAGATTTTTTTATAAATTTATAAACCTATTAGTGCAGCATTTAGTGGTAAATAATTTTTAAAATTATTTTAAATATTTTGTTTTAAAAAATGTACTTCAAAATAAAGATTACCATAAAAAAATCATAGATCAGATGTATAGGTTGTTATTAAATTAGGAAAACATGAAAATGTTTCATGTAACATTTTTAAAAAAGAATTTTAATATCAAAATTGCAATTTTTTTACATTTTGAATTAGTAAAGTAAATTTACAGAAAATTTGTTAAATATTTATTGATGGCTTATCTAAATTATTTAAAAATCAAAATTTTATTTAAAGTTTCAAATTTAAATATTGTTTAAAAATTTTTATTAACAAATTATCTGAAAATTTTCAAAATCACATAAATTACCAATAATTCCAGAATATAAACCAGGAACAGCTTTTAAAACTTCATTTTAAACATTAACTATGTCTTTTTAAATTATTAATAAATTCATTTTATTACTTTTAAGGTCTTTTTTTAATTTGATTTTTTTTAAATTTAAATTTTGTTTTGATTTTACCTTTGTGTGGACAAAATAATCGATTAATCATCGTTTAATGGGTAGGTCAAAGTCCCTAATAGATTTATGTTTTTTTCTCCGATTAATCGATTGTATTCGATTAATCGATTATTTTCGAGTAATCGATTACTTTCGATTAATTGATTATTTTCGATTAATTGATTTTTTCGATTAATCAATTATTTTCGATTGATATAACAATTTTACAAAAAAATCGACCAATCCTTTAATCCATTATTAATCGATTATTTTAAATAGGTTAAATTCGAATAATCGAATATTTTCGATAATTAAATAAATTTGAGTTGCAAGTAGGTGTAAACAAAATAATCCATTATTAATCGATTAATGGATTGGTCGAATTAATTTTTTGTAAAATCGTTAGATTATTCGTTTTTTTATTAATCCAACTTAATCGATTATTTTCAAATATTTTCGATTGTTTTTGATTATAATCGATTATTTTCAATTATTTTAGATTATTTTCGATTTTTGGTTATTTTCCATTATTTTCGATTATTTTCGACTATTTTTAAATATTTTCGATTAATTTAAATTATTTTCGATTATTTTTATTATTTTGAAATAAATTTACATTATTTTCAATCATTTTCGATTTTTTCAATTTTTTCAATTTTTTTGGGTTTTTTGTCGATTAATTTAAATTATTCAGTTTTTTTTTATTTTTATTATTTTCGATTATTTTTGATTGTTTAAATTTTTTTGGGTTTTTTTCGGTTTTTTTCGGTTTTTTAGATTAATTTAAATTATTTTCAAGCATTGTTAATTTTTTCAATTTTTTTTTTCGTTCATTTTTGATTATTTTCGATTATTTTGGATTATTTTCTATTTTATTCAATTCTTCTCGATTTTTTCGATTATTTTCGACTATTTTCGATTAATTTAAATTATTTTCAATTCTCTTATTATTTCGGATTATTTTAAATTATTTTCAGTCAATTTTAATTTTTTCTGGTTTTTCGACTATTTTCTATTATTTTTGATTATTTTCGATTATTTTTGATTTATAATTATTTTTGATTTATAATTATTTTTGACTATTTTCAAATAATTCAAATTATTTTCGATTATTTTTAATTATTTTCAATTATTTTTGATTATTTTGAATTCATTTAAATTATTTTCGATTTTTTGAATTTTCGATTTTTTCGAATTTTTAGATTTTTTCCGGTTTTCTTTTCGATTTTTTAAATTTTTTTTCAAATGTTTTTGATTATTTTCAATTATTTTCGACTATATTCAATGAATTTAAATTTTCGACTATTTTCGATTATTTTTAATTATTTTCGATTATTTTTGATTATTTTCAGTTTTTTTGGATTTTTTTTCCATGATTTTAAATTCAATTAAATTATTTTCGATTTTTCAGAATTTTCGATTTTTTTCGAGTTTTAGACTTTTTCCGGTTTTCTGTTCAATTTTTTTCTATTTTTCGATTTTTATTATATTTTTGAATATTTTCAATTATTTTTGATTATTTTCGACTATATTCAATAAATTTAAAGTATTTTCTATTAATTTCTATTATTTTCGATCATTTTCGATTATTTTTGATAATATTCGATTATTTTCGATTATT